ACTTGAGATCATTAAGTTATCTTACATGCGAATTCCTATACTTTGATACTATCTTAGGAAGTCATAGCAAAAAATGTACAATGGGTGGATATTGGGTATAACATGAAGTTCATGAAGATAAATGAATGATTAATGAAGGATATATTACCCTAAGTAATCTTCAAAGATATATCCCATTGTTTCTTGCCATGTCTTAACTCAAAGATATCCTTGGTCAAGATAAAATGAAGATTTGAAAAATGAGTTTTTCACATTTTATTAAGGAGTTAAGATGTCATGACACAATTCCAGATCATGATCGGTGTAAGGATTTAGCAAGGAAGGCCCACTGACCTAAGCAAGCCTTAAATATAAACAAACAGAAATATATATTAACCTTGTAATATGAAACTCATCTTAACATTTCATCATCATTTATATATAAGTAATTTATCTATAAAACATAGACTTTAGCATTTTTAAGTGCACCATTGTGTGCTTAAACATTCAAAACAGGAACATAATTCTGAACAAATAAAGTTCTATGCCATATCAAGGCTAAGTCAAATAGAATATAAACTTATTATAGACATAAACAAAAAAGTGATGGACTCAAATAGACAGATATTGGATAGACAATAGAGTTGACTTTGAGAAAGGTAACATTTACTAGATGCGTTAGTGATCATCTACTGTAGAAATAGACGAACTCCCTCTAAGAAGGTGATGAGCCAAGTAGTCTACTAATCTAAAAACCAAATAGAATTTACATGACTAAGTTATAAAAGCCCAGTGAGGAAATATGAAAAGGGGGAAAAAGCTAACAAAAAAGTGTTTGCGTAAAACACATTTTTAGTCAAAGATGCAATTTTAAGCCAAATCTCAAATTCTTATTCCAATCATACACCAAAGTGTTATTGGGCTTGATTTAGATGTCTTAGATGAAAACAAAATCCCATAGGGGTTTGGATTGAAGTAACAAAGTCGAAATACCTCAAAATCCATTAAAAAGTGTGAAATTTCAGAAACAATCATAAGGCATTGATACCTTATTCAAGAATATTGATATTTATCAAGGAAAACGCCTTTTAGGCATTTTGGATACTAAGTATCGATACTTACTCTGAAGGTATCAATACTTTCAACATAGAAAGCTCATTAACTTTCAAGTATCGATACTTTTCTCAAAGGTATCAGTACTTTAGAACAAAATGCTATTTTGGGCATTTTGTTGCCTAGGTAACGATACCTTATTCAAGGAGTATTGGTACCTCATTCAAGGTTTTCTAGATTTTTAACAAAATTTCCAAGATTTGACCCATAATAAAGGATTAAATTGTTTTTTATTAGAATGCTCAATTTTCAGATAGAAAACCAGTCAAAAAACATATATAAGCATAAATATTTTCAATCAATATACAAAATGAATATAATCAATTTCGAACTTTCAAAGTTTATGTCATGAAATTTCCATTCAAAGTCTCAAACTTTATTTAATAAAACTTATACATTTATGGAGCACTAACTCAAAAAGAATAGAATAGAACAAAGAGAAGGTTGGTAAGCTCGAAAATAATGCTATAGTCCTCATTATTAGAACAATATATATAAAGGGTGTCACAACACCATAATAGTTCGGTGCATATAGCCACCAAACTCAAAACAAAGCAAATAGATCATTGTGTGCAATGGCTAGCATCTACTGTCGCTAGCTACAGGTTCTTAACTTAAACGCTCCATTAAGTTATCAAAACAAATTTTACCAAAGAGTTTTCAAAATAGAATTCATTGGGTGAACTTATTCACCGATACTTGTACAATGTCACTAGCTCTAGCTCATTTATCAAAACAGATAAACGTTGTAGTAAGGTCATTTCAAATATTATTCAATCATGAGTTTCCAATTACAAACATTACTCTAATCATCAAACAAGATTTAAAATTTTGAGGTATTAAAACATTCAAGGTGCTTGTCCCCCATGCACAAAATTAAGTAGACAAGCACACACACGCACAGATATCTACATATATATATGTGTATGTATATGTTTGTGTGTGTGTGTGTGTGTATATATATATATATATATATGAATATATTTGTATGTCTATATATATATATATATGCATATATATGTATGTATGTATGTATGGGTGTATATATATATATGAATATATATGTTGTGCATCAAGAGTCCATGCCGAGGCATAAAGCACTTTTAATGATGGTATTATATGTTATGTATAGCAGGATGGAGGCAGGCCTTCATATTGTTAATATTATATTAAGTATTTTTGTTTAATAGATTCTGAGGCTTGTTTGGACTTGGTGGGTTTGCTTACTCGATTCTCATGCCGGTTATGGCCTTGAAATCGATTGTGACAACTTTTCATACCTTTGAGTAGAAATGATGTTTTTAAATTATGATGCTATATTTATAAGCATGCCTTGATAATTGTTTAGGCATTAAATGATTTCAAAACAAATATGTGTTTATAAAAAATTTTTGATGTTGAATGCCTTGCTATAAATATGATTTAAAAGTGTATGTATATACGTATGTACGTATGTATATATGTGTATATATATACACACACATTTAAATCACATTTATAACAAGGCATTTAGCATCAAATCTTTCTCATAAACACATTTATTTCAAAATCATCATTTAATGCCCAAACCATTATCAACACATGCTTATACATATAGCAACATAATTTCAAAACACCATTTCTACTCACAAGTATGAAGAGTTGTCAGGGCCGATGCTGGGCCATGATTGATGTGAAGATCGAGTAAGTAAGTCCGCCAAGTACAAACAAGCCCCAAAATCTGCTAAATGGAATTCCTTAATATAATATTAACATTATGAGGGCCCGCCTTAATCTTGATATACATAACATATAATATCATCATTAAACGTGCTCCATGCCTTGGCATGAAGTCTCAATACACAACACATGCTTAGATTATCCAAAATACAAGCATACTCGTGGAACGATATATGTCAACTCATATTCACTCTAAGGACTTTATCTTATAAGTTATAAACACATGAAAATATGTCAACTTATTGATAGATAAAAGCATTTTTATTATTGCAATACATCAAATCAATGTCAATTAGCTTGTAGGGCACATATCAACTCTGTTAACGACTACTATGTTTTGATATTATGTTAAATGGTTCTAATAAAGGATGTTAAATATCATAAATATTAGGTATAGCTTGAAACACATGAGGGTAAATGAATAATTAATAATGGATTTGATCACTTTAAGTGAAACTAAGAGGAATATCCCATTGCATCTTGGCATGTAATAACTCAAGCAAACCCTTAACTAAGACATAATGAGAGGCCAACAAAGGGGTTTTCGATTCTCATAAGAATGAGTTGACTATATAATTCAAGTGCTAATTGGCAATGACAATATAGAGTAGACACTACACTATATACTCTATGTCTTGTCAGGATTTTAATTACATGGTTAGACATTACACTAAAAGGTTGAGCCAAGCCACTCTATCTCTTCTTAACATTGGGTAGTCATGAAATATTACTAGATTTCAATATTTGTAACACCCCGTACCCTCGTGTAGAAGCCCATACGACCTTATCAATAAGACTAAGAGTCAATGGATGTAAATTTAAGTGCCAAAGAGTGGTGATGGACTAAAGAACTATTTTGAAATAAAATATTTTGTACGTGACAAAATAATAATTAAGTAATAATATATTTATCGATGATGAATTGGCAAGTTAAAAGGTAAATTGGAGGTGAATCAGGACAAAGTGAGACATTTGGGTCCCGAGGAGACAAGTGAAAAATTTTAAAATAAAATAATATTTTATTAATAAAATATTATTAAAATAATACTAATGTCAAGTTGGATATATTACTCGAAGGAAGTGTGATTTGTACAACTTGTCTACGTGGAGGAGTGGAAGTAAGAAATATTTAGAAGAAAAACAATGTTAGAGGGACTTGCGTGTTTTTATTAAATAGAGTAAGAGCGAGTAAGTATATATTTAAATATTATGGTAACGCCTTGATGAGGTGCAAATTTGATATTTTATTTGTACAAGTGTAATGAAAAAAAGATAGAAAAAGAATTTAGAATTTAAGAAGTATTGGAAGGACCAAATTGTGAAGGATGA